GTACCTTCGCTTGAACGGTCTCCTTTTTCGTTTACCATCGGTGAAAAGAATGTAAAGTCTTCAAGAAATGAGTCAACCAGAATCACAAAGGATGACAAAGAAAATGCAAATGACCTTTGTCTGCGGCTGGCCACTGGCTAAGCCTCGATGTTATGCGACAGATGCGAAGGAATACAATTGAAGTTTATTATAAAAAAGATCATTTATTTATATTCTAGGCCATTTTAGCTTGATGGCAACTCCAGAGGAGTAAACAGTTTGACTGCCACTTTGTAAAGTGAAATAAACGGAAAATAAATAATTCGCAGTAAAGTTGGTAAGAAGAGAAAATAATTTCACTTGTGTTCTAGTAATAATATTTAAAAACTTAAATTGAGGCAAGTCTCAGGAGAAATAAGGTTGTTGTAAGCAGGCTCGTCCACGCGGCCTCTCCGATTATTCAACTGAAATCTCGTTCGTCGCTACTGGTGCATTTAGCTTGAAATTTAAACGAAAACTATTTGGTCATAAACTCTGGTTCTCTTGTCCAGATGGAGGAACGTCCACCAAAATATCTTGTACTTAATACTAGGCTTCCGTGAGCGTAAATAAACTTAGTTTCTTCAGTACAAATTTAATGCTTAATTTTCCATTGTCGTATAGATTTTCCTTTTTAGGAAAGTTAATCTAATAGCCTTTGCCAAATCATTTAAATCGCAAATAGATTGCGTTACACTGTGTTTAATTTCTTGAGGAATAAATATAATTTATAGTTGTACACGATCCAAGGATTTTCTGAGTTTTCCAAACAATCTTACCGAGTTATTTTAATAGATACTCTGACCATTCCTCCAATTTCCAAAGTTGATAGAAATCATCCAAATAGCCATGGATCGATTTTATGTACCGATTATCGATTACATTTCTACCTACCCCTTTGTCCAAGGTTGTTAGAAGGTTATTTTCGTTTTAATTTTCTTTTCTTTTCTTTTCTTTTCTTTTCTTTTCTTTTCTTTTCTTTTCTTTTCTTTTCTAAAGATGGTCTAAACTGATACCGCGGTTCTGGTCTCTTAAAGCTCTGTATGCTGTAGTGTTCTTGGGCAGGACACTTCACTCTCATAGTGCCTCCTTCTACCCACTTAGGTGTATGAAGGGGTACCCGCGGATTTAATACTGCAGGGTAACCCTGCGAAGGACTAGCATCTTAACCAGAGGGGAGTAAAAATGATGCATGTTACAGATCAGAAACCAGGCTTTATGGGTCACTTTACCCGACGGGCACTTTACTTCGTGTGCCGTTTAAGAATCACGAGAAATATTTCTCAGTTTGGGGCAAGTTGATTCTCCAAGTGGTTTGCAGTTTGAAATAAAGCACGCTTACATATAATTGAGACAATTATTAAGATATCATTGTTTTACCATGACATGATTTTCCGTTCAGTTGTGATAAGGTTGCAAGAAGGCCAGCATAACCATCCTTACTGATATGTGTACACGCTATTAGGAGCTAGTTGAAGAATATACTTAATTTAGAGGGCCTCAGATTCGATGACTTAATTTAAAGACTTTAATGGTCAGTATCATTGTATGACTGCTATGATGGTAAGGTCTTCCGTGACGAATTAACGATAGCTTTTTTTTTATTTTAAGTGTTTTTTAGATATGAGCTGGTTTCAAGACAAACACCTAGAATGAAACAAATTAAGTGAATAATCTATCTTTACATTTTAACAAGAATAATGATAAAGGTAATTCGGTGAATCACCTTTGAGGTATCAACAAAGAAACATTCCAAAACAAATGAATGAAATTCATTGAGCAAAAATGGATTTTTTTGTATCTGAAAGGGTTAACTCTTCTAGATGACGAGCGGGTAAAAAGCTGATTGTTTCTTAAAAAAAGCATTAACCACCTGAAAACTCAAGCCAGTAAATAATTAGAAACCAGCTCAGTAAAGTAAATAGTTTCAGTCCTTTATACTAATTTACGCAGACCTAAAGTGTTTACATTTGGAAGCTGAGATTCTTGGATCCTTTGCCGTTCCATTTCAATCTTTAAGATTCTGAGTAAATTAATTTTTATCAATTTAAAGACCTCTTCATCTGGAAATAACCTTAAACTTTATCATGAGAGGAGCTGTGGCAGTTATATTTCTATCCTGCGTTAGCCTTACACTTCTCGGTGAGTATATACCATCTCTAATTTACCTCCACCAGAAGTGGTATTTACCTCCACTGTAAAATATCTATGGCGTTTATGATGAAAAAGTGGTTCACAGCCGTGTAAAATACGCGCATTATTGTGAAAGGCGACGAAAATGGGAGCAGACAAACTGAGGTGTTTTTGGTTGAAAGAGAAATGTTGAATTGAGAAGTGATAGCTGTAACGCGGAAGTCATGACTTGTCCTGTTAGGAAGTGTTACAGACGTAAACGGTATCTGATTTTTCGTCGTCATGCAACTGAAGATGGTTTTTCGTTTGTCTTGGCTGATGATATAAATTTCCTTTTTAGGAAGGCAAGGAGTTCGTGCTAAGCCACCAGGCAAAGGTTGATACAACACACTGCATGTTTGTTTACTGGTTCACTGAAGTGTTGCTAGGTTAACTAACGTGATCTCAAACATAAAGAGCAAATCGTTAAAAAAATAAACTCGTTGACGGGGAAGGACTGAGACTAGTAAACACAGCTTAGATAGATTGCTACACCGGAACATTTAATGCATTCAGTCTAATTCTTGAGATTTATTTTGCTATTTCATGGTAACAGAATTATTCCATGGTGGATCCCTTGAAGAGACAAGAAACAAAAGGAAAAGAACAATATATGACGAGGAGGGATTCCCGGCTGATGACGATAATGATGACGACTATAATGATGATGACGATGACATGTATTACAGAAGACAACAGCAACACCGCAGATATTACAGACAATCCTAGAGCAAGACAGCCTTGTTAAATTGTACATTAGATCGTGTTAAGGGATGCAATGTAGTTTGGCTAGAATCCCGTATCATTAACGCTATTAAAATACTGTGTAAAGAAGAAAGAGTAAAAACGTTTGACCACTATATCTTGAGTGTTGTTTGAAATCAACGCGCGCACCTTAACTCACCACCCTCCACCCCCTACCTCCTGGGCTAAATAATAGAGATCATTCATGCATTAACTTTTTTTTTTACCGAGGTTGCCTTTTAAAATGGCGCTGGTAACCGTTTAATTGTCTTGAATAACATGAATTTGACTCGACGTCTCAGTGCAAGTCAGGTGTGCAAGTTTGTTACTTTAGCTTTCCGCAGTTTCTCAAGATGGAAGCCAAATTCTGATTAAAGATTCATCACACTTTTTGCTAACAAGACACACATACATTGTACGTTATCCTCTGTTAAAGTTGTCCTCAAAGGTTTTATGGATTTGTTTTACCATGAGCCATTATGTAACAGTTGACCTCGTTCAACCCTCATTTGTAAAGCGACGAGTACAAAATTACGAAAATATAATTTTTACATTGTTTTCTATATAATGAATTCAAAACAGAACTGGTGAAAAGCCGGTTAAAATTTGATTTTGTTAGGTTAACAGCCGACGATTGTTAACTTCAAAAGCGACGGGCTACATTTTCGATACAACTGAAACAAACTGTACGCGGGCGAAATTTGCGAATAGGAAACAAAATGCGTTCACTAAATTTTTTGAACATTCTTGATACACGGCCAATTATTCTAGATACACGTGACAATTATTTTCTTGGTAGATTTTGTTTACCATCAGATGATAAAGGACTTTTCTTGAAACTGTTTTCACTAAACGAATGAATCACGTTATTTATTTATAAATTAAAAAGAGGCTCTGCAGTTGAAACCACAATGGAGGTCGAAATTGATCCGCGCAAGTTATAAAGATTTGTTAATAACGAGGGCAGATAAAAGTATATTCAATGCTTCATTGTGCCGTGAAAAACGTTTAATGCGACTTGAAGCTTTGTTCAACATCTTGACAGCTTTCTAAGGCCAGGTAAGTACAATTCTTAATACCCTAATCATAGAGGTCTAACGCAACCAACTTCTAAAATGTAAAAATGTCGTCGCATTCAGATGAACTGTTAATTGATCCATTCCTCTGATGGTTTTTATTGACATATAAGTTTTTGTAGGCGGAGATCAAGTTAGTATCAGTTACCCATCCTTACTAAATAAATACGATTTAAAATACCAGTGGCAGTCATTAGATTCGTTGGTTTATGACTTGAAGCTTTGTTCAACATCTTGACAGCCTTCTAAGACCAGGTAAGTACAATTCTTAATGCCCTAATCATAAAGTTCTAACGCAACCAACTTCTTAAAATGCAAAAATGTCGCCGCATTCAGGTGAAGACCGTTAATTGATCCATTCCTGTGATGGTTTTTATTGACATGTAAGTTTTTGTAGGCGGAGATCAAGTTAGTATCAGTTACCCATCCTTACTAAATAAATACGATTCAAAATACCAATGGCAGTCATTAGATTTGTTGGTTTATAAAGACCATGATTGTTCCCGTGGAAAAAAAACGGCGACACCCGTATAGGATGTAACCAAAGCCTATCGGCTCTAATTAATATGCACTTCACTAGCGAATTAATGATTTTGACGCGTTTGCAGGTTGTTATTCGATAATAAGTAAATACTTAATTTCATCTCAGTCCAAGATTGAATCTCCCATGTGAAGTTTTACTACGACATGTTGACTTCAAATGTTTTCGTTCTAGAAGCATTTTTTTCCTTTTGCTACCGAAGTCAAAAATTTGTTTGCTCTCTTAATCAGATTTGCCAGAGGAAGATGGAACAAACAAGTAATTCGAGAGCATTGTTTCATTTTTCCGTTAACTTCGTTATCCAAACAACAAAAATACTGATTTAACTTCTACAGTTTTTTAAAAGCGTTGTCAATATAATTAAGATCTTTATTTCAAGAGACGTTTTAAAGGGATGCCCGCCTATCTTTTATTTCATGCTTTACAGGTGTATTAAATTCATCGAACAAATGAATGTGGCACTTGTATTTGCGCTCGCTGCAAGTCTCGTGTTTACAACTGTAAAAGGTATGTTAGTGCTAGCTCAGTTGAATACTCTACCTAGGTCTTCCAATTATACTATAAATCTACCAGCAATCTATTACGAATGCCGTTCTCTGATTGGCTACGCTACTCACTACCTATTCTGTCGAAGATAGTCTAGCAGGGCGGTTGTTACAAAATGGTGGCCGCTTGATGCAAATAAAGTTTTGAACTTCTAGCAGGTTAGACGAGTAGAAACAATTGGATTATTCGCTATCGATTCTAATCGGCCTGCTGATAGGAATCACGAGCTCATAATCTAATTATTTAAGTATGTGTTCAATGTCTTATACACTGAAGACAGTGAGTGGTCTGTAATTGGTCTCGAGCATTCCCAGTCTCTTAGGCCAATGTTAGTCATCCTAGTTCTTTAATTTGTTGGTTTAATTTTGCTTGCCGCTACAGTGTTTTTGCACTTGACTAAACATTGTTTGAAGTTTCATTCAGTTAATTGAGTCACTTGAAGATGACTTTGTTATTTTGATTTTCAGGCACACTTCAGAGAGATGTCATCACGTACATTAATGTATTTCGTCATTTACATTCCGTGGGGCCACTATTAGTCGATGACGTCATCCAGAAGAGCGCTCAAAATGCGGCCACGTTATTTATGAAAGCAAAAACCAAAGATTCCGTACCTATTTACAGATATAGCGCCAACTTTTGTACTTATAGCGGCTCTGAAGCAAACCTGGATCGCACGTGCGTGATATCATGGTACGTCTCAATGAAGTATTACATTTGGTGCTATCCTCGAGCCGAGGGCCAAGCTCTGCCATTTGTCAACATGATTTGGAAAGCAAGCACTAAGGCAGGAGTGGGAATAGCGAAGGGAAATGATGGAACTTTCTACGTGGTGGTCTACATTGCTTTGCAAGATGAAAATAACGTCGCAGGAAACGTGCCACCAGTGAAAAGTACGTGACTAGAGCGGTTTTCAATTGAGCGTCGTAAAACCAAATCAATTACTTACCAATGAATATTAGACTACACAGCTTATCCCAAACCGTAGTAAAACCAAAACCAAAGCCAAAGTAGTTGTCTGATTACTTTGACACTCAGTTGAAAACCATTCTATACAAAGCAGTAATTAAGAATGCAAATTCCTTTTACTTGTCTTGGTATATTTTCCAATAACAAGAAGACTAATAAGTGTCAAGTAGATTCCTCTTTCTTTCTTCTCTCTGCCTCCATGCAAGAAAACCGATTCAAAACAAGGTCTTAAGTGCTATAAAAATTCTAATAATGTTATGTTCAATCTTATAATAGCTTTTATTAGTAGTTTAACAAACAAACGAGGCGATAGGGTCAATTCAGTGCTTTGAATTGATCCTTTCACTTGGTTTGTATGCCTTTTTCAACAAATGAATGTTTCACCGCAGACTCAACTACAGTAACAGCCATGGTCCATGTAAATTACCAGCGCGAGGCCTTTCAAAATTATATTATGATTTTATTGTATACAATAATACACAACATGACGGGTTGTGGTATTAGTGATGGCGAGAAAAATCAAATGTGTGTAATGAATGCAAATAATTATTACCTAGTGAAGCAAAATGTTGCTTATCTACGTTTGTCTTTACTAATGTTGAAATGTTACAACTTCAATCTGTTCCTACACCTCTCAGCCTAAAAATTATGCAATTATGCAAGTAACATTAATTTATTTATTTTTTTAACAGTCGTTATGGAGGCAAGCCCAAAAGGTGAGAACTTTGAGAATTAGCATTTTTCACTATACTAGTTCAATTTCTCTGCCCTAGATTTAGAAATGTTATCTTGACTTGATTGCGTAAAATATATCATTTTAACTTTCAGCCAAGTGTCCGCCTGGTTATTCACGATTTCGCACTTCTTGCTTCAAGTACGAAACTACAGCAGTGACCTGGGACGAGGCCGTGACACGCTGCGCAAGAGAAAATGCCACTTTGGCCTCAATCCGGAATGTTAAGGAGGAAGAATTTGTAAGAGATCTACAAAAGACGGGATCAGGTGTAGAAACTTGGATAGGTATGATGCGTGGATCTTCAAAGCTATTATAAATATTAAAGACAACGAATTGTACCCAACGTTGAAGGTCATGAATTAAACACCCACCTTTTAATTGAAAGCAGTAACCTGGACACAAGCTTAAAGCGAAAGCTTCTCTTGCGCTCTATTCTTTTATCTTTTATCGGGAAGTACGTGTAGCTTGCCACGCAACTTTTCCTTGTGTCAAAGAACGACTGCTGGAAATATGGGTGAGGCTGTACAGTAAGCTTTATGAAAACCGTGAGACTTAATCTTTTTTGAGATCGAAACGTAATTTTTCTTCCTTTGAATCATGTCTGATTCAAAATTGACTACCTTATTTCACACCAGACAACATTTCTGAAGGGATGTATGGTAACGAAAAAAATTGTTGTCTTGGAAAAAAAGGACACCCAATTCCACACTGAATTGCACAAACCATACTCTAAGACCAAACTGGCTTCAAAATCTAAACCCTTCGCCTGTTCAAGTAGTTATTTAGTTCACGTAGGGTCCGGGAGATACCTCAGGATCTGTTTGTACTCTAAGCTTACAAAATTTAGTTCAGCCGCATATTAGGACCAATTCGTCATAACGGCCACTTTCTTCTTCATCATTTGAAGGCCTGCATGACAGTTTGCATGAAGGACGCTTCAAGTGGTTCGATGGAGTAAGATTCCATAAGCATGTGTGCGTACCAGTGCACGCTGATGGCGGCAACGTGGAAAATTGTGTGGCATGGAGCATTAACAAGCCAAAGGGCTGCTGGGATGATAGACGTTGCAATGAAAAGATTCCATTCACATGCAGGATTCCTATTGAAGGTAGATAAGAATATTTTTTGGTTATTGTATGTGATGATTTACGATAACTGCAATTTTGAACTGAGTAATTTAGTGGACATGACAAATAAACCGTTCCACTGGCTTTAAATTAATATGACAAAAACAAAAACAGAAAGAAGGAGAAGAGTTTCTAAGTCCACTGCTCCCATGTTGACGTTTTAAAATTATCCCTACTGGTTCGCTCTAGTCATTAAGAGACCGTACATAGTTCTCTTGAATTCCGAGACTTGACATTACTAAGTAGGTGATGTAATTTGTTTGTCAATTTGTGAATCATCGTATATAAACCCTGCAGTTAGATACCGCTTCAGTCCTTGGTACACCCTGTTATCGAAGTAAACCCGTCCTATTTAATTCTTTGTACTTATTCCTATCAACAGGCAAATCAACTTACAGAACAGAGGTTTTGTTCAAAAAATTCCGTTGGAGACCTAATTATAAGGACAAGAGCTCCAAAGCGTACAGAGATCTGGTGAATGGCATAAAAGTAACGGTACGTAAATATTACCAAAAAAATAACTCCAGGAAAGTCAAATATTACTGAATTATTGTTAAATCCTAATAGTTTGGGAAAACAGGGCGATGGCGTCACTACATTTCCATTACACTGTGCTGAACACTGTGACGTTGAGCTTAAAATGGTATGTAATCTGAGTATTTTGCTGGGCTTTTCCTTTTTCCTCTTAGTTCAAAGAAATCTTCACGCGGATGTCAGGAAAAAAGAAAGGAGGGTTTCGAAAAGTCAAGGTCAAAGGCGTTAGGTACCTGTTTCTTTTCGTTCTGGATGTAACCATTTTAATAAAGGTTACAAGCTGGGTTTTGTTGTTTTAGATTTCTTTTCAATTATGTTTTTTTAAATCTAATGTTATATTTTCTTTGTTTATCCTGCTGGATAGGGCAATCTCTTTTAAAGGAAGGTAAGTTGCATGTCTTGTATTTATACTTTTAACCTTGGTCTGACAATTCCGGCTACCTTAGGTCAATATTCGCACGTGTAATAACAAATCACAAGCGCTTCGGTAATAAGTTATTGATACGTTTCAAATACTTCCTTGGATGCTTCGGTGGTTGAAACGTTAACCCTTCAAGTAGTCTGTCATAATATCCAAACCGCACCTCATTCAGGAACAAAGTACACGGCTCTTTCAGGATAATTCGGCCATAGTAGTACGATGTGAACGATAATGACACAATTCAGTTTGAATGCTCCTAATGATCACTTCACTCATTTCCCAACAGGCCCGCAGGTTTGGGGATCGCGGTTTCAATCAAGTTCAGATCGTTTACCCCAGACCCTACCCTCCGATTCCAGAAATTTCTGCGTCCGTCAGAGAAACTTTTAAGTATGGCCATTGACAAACCAGGTATGGCATGATTAAATTTCGGTTCTTCTTTCTGTTTTTGGCTTCCGTTTTTTGTTTCCATCGCTTAAAGTGCCACTATGATGAAATTCTCGATATCCATTTCTTTACATTTTCGTACACATTAGGTCGTTCCTAGATATCTTGCCAAATTTCAATTTTCTACGAACATTAAAACTCGTGGTTTTTCGGACCTTAATTTCCGAGAATTTACGGCCGCCATCAAGTTTCCTTGATCCAAGTCTTGGTTGAGAATTTGAGAAAATGACGTAATTTTCTCAAAAATACCACACGGGTTGAAATTATAATAATAATTAGCACAGCAATTCGCATAAAGAATAACAAAATCTTTGGCTCATATATTCGTGCAATTTTTTACATTAATTGTTATCATAATTTCAACCCGTGCGGTATTTTGAGAAAATGACGTCATTTTCTCAAATTTTCAACCAAGACTTGGAACAAGGAAAATTAATGGCGGCCGCAAATTCTCGGAAATTAAAGTCCAAAAACCACTGTTCGTAGAAAATTGAAATTTGACAAGATATCTAGGAAAGACCTAATGTGTACGAAAATGTAAAGAAATGGATATCGAGAATTTCATCATAGTGGCACTTTAAAAGTTAGGCCAAATGATACTTTGCATAATTATGCTACTACTTTTGTCAAGGTGCAATGTTGCATCATCATATCATACGGTATGTGCCATGCCGTAATTATGGTGATATTATTCGAGGTGTAAGTTTTTTTTTCGACAAAAAATAACTTGTAATGTGATAACGAACTTTGAACTGGATTCCTTATTAAAAAGTTTGGAATTTTCGGTTCTCCGGCCTGCTGGCGGAAAGCGTTATTTTTTTACGGCATTTTTATTGTTACATTTTTAATAAGATAACGCAGTGGTTTCGAATTATCTCTCGCTCTTTCTAAAGCCCCGGAAACTTTTCGGGCCCGCAAAGCCATTTATAGTTAACCTGTATCTAATAACAGAAAGGTGTGTACGCCTGAAACTTCTTGAATGAAGGGAATTTCTGGCCATATTTAGAATATGTAAATAAAACAGCTCTGTAATCATAAGGTTTGAGATTTTGCTACGGCTTTCCGGGTGCGGAAACTTTTCGGGACCTTCAAGAAACGGGCCCCTGGGATCATTTGTGGCCCCGAGAATATTTGCGGGCCTGTATAGTGCAGCTCCAAATTTTAACTCGAAAAATATCGCAACAAAAGAATGAAAGTACAAGAAATATAAAATTTTAAAAATCCATAGTCTCACTAAAACAGAAATTTAAGGGTTTTTTTTTCAAAAAAGAAAAAACCCGACAGCAACAACACGAATGTCATTGAGACCCATTGAAAACAAGGTCGCCATAAAAACCTCAAGTCACATGGCCGTCAATAAATAAGAGTAACAGTAAAGTGTGTTCGACTTATTGATTTGCAGCAAGTCGAGGTTCCGCTTAACCCTTCGCTTTAATTCCTAGCTTAAATACATGCGTATACAAGGGCAAAGGATTTTATTCTCGGCGCGCCCATGCACTTCAAACCGACACAAACTTTCTATTTCACGCACTTTACTTCATGCCACCCTCCAGGCGCTAGGAAAGGCTTAATCAAAGGCGAAGCCTTACGAGACCTTCGACTTCTCAGAACCAACTCCTCAAAAGCTACATATGAAATAAACATTACACAATTCAAACGGAGATAACGCAACAGAGGTTACCCACATGACCTCTTAGGGCCGGGTCGCACTAGAGCCAATTTTGTTTGTTTAAAGTATTTCCAATTTTTGGCTAGGACAAAAATTGGCAAAAAATTTCGCATGTTCCAAATTTTGGCGGTGGTCGCATTGGACCAACATGTTTTAACCAAAACTTCGCTGATTGACATATAAGTCACAAGATCTACAGACAACAAAACATCTCGCGCGTTAATTGTGCAAGAATGGATGGTCATAAACATATGATTATTTTCGCGGCTTTCGGACTTTTGTTGAATTTTGTGTTTCAGTCTCAACAAAACAACGTAACGTTTTTAGTATTGTTGGTGCACTATCAGCAGGCTTTTCAACGGTTAGTGTCTGCTATTAGAAGACGTAGGGTTCGCTTGAATAGACGTCGTTTACGAAACCGTCCTTGGTCGTGGATTTTACCGCGTCCGGCAGAGTCATGGTTTGAAATACATTTCTACGATAGAAACATTCCAGAAGATTACTTTCGACGCCAGCTGAGAATGAAGAGAGGGACCTTTCAAGCCCTGGTTGGCATCCTGACGCCGTGGTTAACCAGAGAGAATACGCGATTGAGGGACTGTATTCCACCGGAAAAAGTTTTAGCCCTAGGAATATATAGGCTTGCACACGGCAATTCATACGTGAGCATTGGACCTGTATTTAATGTTGGCAAATCCACTGTAATCGAGGCCGTCCAAGATGTTGTGGCATCTTTGTTTGAACTGAAAGATGAATATATACATTTCCCAGAAACAGTGGCAGGAACATATATAGGAACATTTAAAGACTTATCTCGACTGCCAAACATTGTTGGAGTGATCGATGGCACCCATATACCGATAAATGCACCGCGCGAGAGTGCAGTCGATTACTTTAGTCGCTATCAACATCACGACTTTGGCATTCAGGCAGTAGCTGATGGGGACTTGCTCTTTTTGGATTTTTCCCTGAATATCCAGGAAGTATGCATGACGCTCGCATATTATGGAACAGTAGTTTATATCACAAAGCTGAGCAAGGAGACATTCTCACTGGCCCCATCGTAAATGATCACCACCACGAGATTGGCCCATATTTAGTAGGTGACAGTGCTTACCCGATATCACCATGGCTTCAAAAGCCATTCCCAGAGGCTACGAGAGACAGGAGCGAAATACAATTTAACCGTGAGCTGTCAAGTGCAAGGGTCAAAATAGAGTGCGCTTTTGGATGCCTTAAGTCACGTTGGAGAATTTTACAAAAGCGCCTTGATAGTGACATTAAATTCTCTGTCCCGATCGCTGTTGCATGTGCTGTCCTACACAATTTCTGTATAAAAATGGGGGACGATTGGGATGACGACGGAAATCCAGATCACCACTGCCGCGATGACGACAACGAAGATGTTGTTAGGGATGGAGAAGAGATAAGAGACATCCTCAAGGAATTTCTAACTTTATTTTGAGTACATTATATCTTTCCCGTTACCGTGCTTATATTGTTTCAGTTTTTCATTTACCATTAACATCTCTTGATTTCAAATGTTAAATCGTGATCATGATTTAAATTTGCTTGCTGAACTTTTATCATAATGTGCTACAACATAAACATAACTTGGAATTGCGTTACATGCACTGGGTCACGCAATATTGCACATACGTCGTAAAATTCTCTAAAATTGCGTAGAATAACTGTTATGTTATCGAACAGGAACATTTCAAACACGGTCAATTGAACTTTTATCATATTGTGCTCAGTACAATATAAACATAACTTGGAAATTGCGTTACATGTACTAGGTCACGCAATATTGCACATACATCGTAAAATTCATGATCTAAATTGCTGAAAATATGATGTTATGATATCGAACAGGAACATTTCAAACACAGTCAGTTTCTGGCTAGAAAAATGTGGTAATGTCAAATGCATTTAACCGTTCATTTGGGAGGAGACGATTCAGTGTTCTTGCTCATAAACTGGGTCATAGCCCCAGTAAATTGACCCATCATGGTCATCTGTTGTTTTTGGATTTCTGAGAAGGTTTCCATAAAGTTACTTAAATTTTCTCCGCATTTTTTGAAGGCGTCCATACTTTCACGCAATTCTCTTCTTTCCTCCTCTTCTCCTTCTTCGATGGCGGCACGATTCCTTTTCCTCGACTGTTTAGATTGCTTCTTCCTATCGGTCCTTGCATCACGCGCATCTTGTTTCTTTGAGTCCCCTTGACTTGGCTTATTCTTGTCGGACTGGGCATCTAAATCGTCCGAACCAGCTGGGGAATCAGTACTGCTGCTGTGTGATGTGTTCACTGGACTTGAACTTCCACTGGTCCCTGCTTGGGACACGTTTCGTAATGTAACGATATCTCGACACCCCAAGATAGCGTCGATCTCGTTGTAAAATATGCTTTGCCTTCTTGTGCCCCCAGTCTGTTTCCGGTTCCACTCCTTCGCCTCTTTATATTTCTCAATTAGGTATTTAATTTTCTTCATACACTTTTCTACGCTCTTGTGGGATTCTAGACGAGAGTTTAACTCGTTCGCGATTTTCCCCCATGCGGTTCTTGCCTCTCTGCTTTCTACCAATTCGTGGTTTTCGGCTCATAATTGGACCAGCAGTTTTTGCTCTGCTTGTGACCACGTCTCGTACTTTACTTTCTTTTTTCCTTTGTTGTTATTTGTGTTGTTGCTTCCACCGCTTTGACTGCTTTCCACACTTGGAATCGAAGCGAGCGAAGGAGACTGTCTTGCTTCCATGCTTGCAAGGGACGGAGATTGTCTTGCTTCCATGCTTGCAAGGGACGGAGATTGTCTTGCCGCCATCTCTTCGCCACTGAATTGGTGCCGGTAGCCGGATCCAGGGTGGGAGTCATAGGTATTTGGAAAAAAATGCCGCTCATATTCATCGTTGCCGTTATAGAAACCGTAGAAAGAAGGGTCAGATGGACCGGGTAAAAAATAATTTTGTCCCGCCATCGTACGTGCTGACCGAACAAGGTTATTTTTCCCGCCGTAACTGTATCCAGGCTTGTTTTAAGAAAAATAATAGTTTTACCAGACATGTTTGAAGAAATATGACAGCTTAATGGCTAAAAGAACAAGATTGTTTGCTTTGCCAAAGTTTGGAAGCTTCCGAGGCAGCACTTCGGCTTCTTTGAAGATCGGCGAAATTTTGGCAATCCGCAAAAAATTGGCGAGTTTTTGAAACTGGGGGTCGCACTTATTTTACGCTACTTGATGACAGATTTATTACTTATGCAAACAAAATTGGCTCAAATTGGCTTTAGTGCGACCCGGGCCTTAGGCAAAATTCTCTCAGAAATTAAATTTAGCGAAAGAGTGTCGCCTTTAAAAACTTACAAAAATCTGCGAAAAAGGATTTTGCCGTTTGTAACAGAATATCGCCCATCTGAACCTACCACTACCTAATAAATCTTACCATGTAAAACTATTCTTATGAGTAAAGGGTATTTCATAGAAAACCAGCCTCTGCTAAGAGAGATCTACAAAGACCTTCCCCCGCCTTCAAACCGAAAGAGAGGTCTTGTTCCCGGGTCTTGCTAAAGTAAAGTCACGGTTTTCCTATCTGACCGATAGGAATCGTGTTTGGCCTGTCAGCCATTTGTATCACTATTGGAAACTAGAAAGTCTAGGTTCAACTGAACTACTGCACTTACTATTTTTTCTCAAAATTGACTTCTCGTATGAATAAAACATTTAAAATATGGGTAAGTCTCTGCAGTTGCCATAGGCTAATGGGACAAACTTTTGACCCAACATGGGCTAAGCTCTCGTGGGCGACCACCTCCCGTAAGCGACCATCTAAGCTTGACAGTTTGGGTGGTCGCTTACGGAAGGTTCAACTGTACTTTTATTAGATGTATTCAATGCAATAAATAGTAATATATGTATAATAATATAACTTAGATATCGATGGAGGTAAACTGGTAATGAAACGGTGTCACGAACTTATTACTTGAAGCTACAATTGTAGTTGACTGATCATCTCTCATAGTAAGTACAGCGTCTTTGCAGACCGATTTAAACTTACTTTTACAACGCGTTTCGGCGTCAGGTGCTTTTCTGTCAGAGAATTATAGGTACTCCCTTTTGTAGCCTTAAAGCCCTGATTTGAATCCGCCTGGTTCTTAGTTGTGAATTTTTTAATGCCATGGGAAAATATCCGGATAAAATACAGCCGACTGAATGCAACAACAGACCTGGCGCAAGTGCTATGACAAAGTCAAGAAAAGTCAAAACTTTATCCGCTGTTTTTCTTCTACCCCCTAAAAAGAAACTTCTCCATCCTACATTGAAAAAATTCGTCTAGCCTCGAATTTCGCGTTTTAACAATACTGAATATATTGTTATGTGATGTTAAACCGGCTAGCGCAAAATCGAATACAAAAATCTCCCTTGTGGCGTTACCACGATAGGCCAGAATCCACCATAGATTTTTCCCATTACATGGCAAAGTTGGTCACCTGGTGCAATAGCTGGAATTTCTACCCGAAGTATCTTAAGGATTTATTAATACGGTCTACTCTCCTAGAGGAACTGATATATTTTCATTGTGTAAACCTGCTTCCACTTCTTATGGTCTTCACTCTTTTAAGTATTTTGCTTGCAGAACTCTCTATCTGAGAACTTGAGAACGGAACCTATTTTAACTTGTTTTAAACGCCTCGTAAAAACAGTCTCCTTTCAGGTATAATTGCTGATTACTACACTAATTATTTATTTTATATATATAGTGTAACCAAACATAATTGTTAGTGGTGGCACTTTTTGTTTTTATATTTCCAATGTTCATTTTCCTCGAAGATATTAACTTTTTGGCTACTCTGTAAATTCAAGTCAAAATAAAGTTATGTATGTATGTAAGCAAAATTCTATTAAACGCGGAAAACGAGGCGAAGGAACTCGCTGTTCCGAGAGGATTCGATCAGGGAAATAAAAAAAACTCGTTCTTGTGCAATAGCCCTTTTCACGGATAATTTTGCTCATTTGTATTACATTAAAATCTAGCGTGTATGTGAGGCAATTTCGGGTTATGTTGTAGTTTTAGCCCGAAATTGCCTCGCATCCGCGTTAGAATACATTGTAATGCAAATGAGGAAAACTAACCGTGAAAAGGGCTATTTAAAGGCCTCTTGACATATGGAAAACCAAAGAGGCCAAAACGGGTTTGAAAAACTGGATGAAAAAATTCCTTTCTCACAAGTCTCCTAACGAGCGCCTTTTACAAGTGAAAAGGGAAAAAAGACAATTTTTTAAAGTATTAACAAGTGTTAATCAAACAGGAATACATTATTTCCGGACAGGTAGTACCAAGAAATGTCGTGACAGGTGGCAGGCAATCATGTAAACAAGTAGATTCTCCGAACCGATGTCAGTGAATTACCATCAATTTACTAGAGAGAAACTAAGTTAACATCAACCAAGTACCTCAGGTATATTCCGTTTATTGTCATGCAACCGGTAACGGTCTCGACTCAACAAAAGATCTCAGAGGTTACATATATAAATATGGCGTTGCCGTCGATTTGCTGAAAGCTATTTGCCGAAGTACGGCGTAGAGATCGTCGTCGAAACAGTCATGGCGATCATTGTGAAATGGCACAAGACAGCTCCTGGCTCGCCGATCTTTTCAAGGAAGTTTGCAGTGGCCGCCATTGTTCTTATTATCGTCGTTGTTTACGTTGGCAACTTAGGAAAGATGATGAACGTTGATGGTCAAGTCGAGTACATTGCGGACGGAGGGAATGCAGAAAAGTTCAGGTTTGTTGCTCAACTATCAATTACAAGGCTTCACAAGACATCTACGCCCAAATCTCGACAATATTGACGTACACGAGGGAAGAATTCTATAACAGCACCGCCCACGACAGAGCAAGAAGTGGGCCCCGGGGCCTCAGGCTATGATCACAGTTTTCGGTGAGCAGATAATGTGAACACACCTTTTTTACTAGTGCCCACACCGAAATTCGGGAACAGTTCCCGTGCCCAGGTACAAGGTTTCGACATTGTGCTCGGGCACTGAATGGTGCTTGGGTACTTGGAGTCCCCAGTGTCTGAACGCAACATTATTTTGTGCCGATGCTCAGGCACCAGTGCTTGGGCACCAACAAGTGCGAACACAGCCTCAGTCGTTTTGTTTCGTTCATCTCGTTTCTTATTTGAAGGGGAAAAGTAAAATACTGCTAACTTGATAAGTTCATTCTCCTGTCGGTTTGGCGATGACGAATTTTAATACTTATGGATTTTCTCTTTTCATTGTTTCATCTACAGAACAACCTCCAATAGCTGCCAACCGAAGGATAGTATACTTTTCCTGAAAACCCACAAGACAGGAAGCAGTACCATAACTAACATTCTAAACAGATATGGCGACTTTCACAATCTGACTTTCGCTCTTCCACATGATGGCTTTTATAACTTCTTCTGGCCCTTGTCGTTTGAGAAATCCTTTATTGCAGGCTTAAAAGGAAAGAAACCAAACATTTTGTGCAATCACGCAAGATGGAACAAGCAGACGATGAAAGAATTAATGGGGCAAGGTACAGTTTTCATCACAATCCTTCGAAATCCAGTTTCGCAGTTTGAATCAACGTTTTCATACATGGAATTCGCTCAATTGCTGGGAATCAAAGCTACCAAAGACCCCTTGGTGACCTTTTTTGAGGACCCTGGTAAAACCATGGCGAAAATTTCAGATCTTTCAGCCTCGGGATCTGTCGTACCTTACTTAAACTTGCTAAGAAACGGACAATCCTTCGATTTAGGATTAGAAAGCGTACAATTTTTCATCAAAGAAAAGACAAGCCATGCAATAACTGAACTCGACAGTAGTTTTGACCTCGTTCTCATGATGGAGTATTTTGACGAGTCTCTCATTCTTCTCGCCCGCGAGCTCTGCTGGGATATACGAGATGTCGCGTATTTTAAGCTGAACCAACGAAGATCATCCGACGTAAAAACGAAACTTTCCGACGAACTCGTGCAAAGGATTCGGCAGTGGAACAAGGCTGATGTACTCCTGTACGATTATTTCAACAGAACGTTTTGGAAGAAAGTTGAGACGCTTGGTAAAGCATTTTGGAGTGATGTTAGTCGTTTGAGACACTACAACAAAGTTTTGGAGGATGCTTGCTTGCTCCCCGGCGAACATTATGCAAAGGCCTACACAAGACAATCGAAACAAATTCTTGGCTATGGCTTAAAGAATAACCTTGACCCTCACTTAAAACTTCTTTGTGGAAAAATGATAACTAATGAGATAGACTACATTGAATACTTGAGGAAAATAACGTTATTTCGAATACGCTCGCAGGACACTAGAGACTAATGTAAATAATAATAATAATTGTTATAAGAACAACTTTATTCATAGAACTATCAAACATACTCTATAATAATAATAATAATAATAATAATAATAACGGTTTGATTACCAAATTCTAAAATAAAAATTGGCTCCTTGACGCCAATATGAAAGGCTAACAGCTATACTCCAACAGTTCGAAATCCCAAGAGAAATGCTATAAATACAGTATTTATTTGAACTCAATGTTATTCAAATTTGAGCCTTATTTATTTTTAAATTTTACCTCATTTACCATATCTCATAATCACTGATTGGTTAAGAAAACCTAAGTCAGATATATCGCTAGGTGTTTCGAGAAAACTGCAGGAGTCCCAACTACTGACTGTCAAGACAGATGTTCATTTAGTTCATCACAGGGTAAGATGTCTCCT